GGAATGAATCTTCATCTTCCATGAACAATAGTTGGGGAATTGAGCACATCTCATAGGAATGTTCTGAAGCTCTTAGTAAGAGCTTGTCCCCTGGTGATCAGGGGCAATATGCTAAATATTTTTTAAAAAGCAGTAAAGGCAGAAACACTCTTAATCAGAGCTGATGGGACTCATGCCAACCGGGGTCCTAGGAGGCCCCTCGATGCCACTTGTTAACATTTTTTCTGCTGTCTCTCGAGGGTCTCCAGCTCTATGGCAGAGGGAGAGTAGGCACAGGGAGCTGGAGGAGCTTTATCAACAGAATATTTTGAGAACTGGTGTAACAGTCACAGTTCATACTTAGTATCAGCCCTTCCTATGCTCTTGTAACAATCATTCCAAATTCTTGTGACTTAAAATAGTGAGGGGGCTGGAGCGATAGCACAGTGGGTAGGGTGTTTGCCTTGCACGCGGCTGACCCGGGTTCAATTCCTCCTCCCTTCTCAGAGAGCCCGGCAAGCTACCCAGAGTATTCCATCTGAACAGCAAAGCCTGGCAAGCTCCCTGTGTCATATTCAATATGCCAAAAACAGTAACAAATCTCACAATGGAGATGTTACTGGTGCCAGCTGGAGCAAATTGATGAGCAAGGGGAGGACAGTGCTACAGTGTTACAGTGCTAAAATAGTGAGTAGAAAAGGTTGCCCATCTCTCTTCCCAGTCTTCCTCTTTTGGTGAGTGTTCAGGGGAGTTAAAAATTCATCTTCTTCTTGTTTTTCATGAAGACACATCTGAGTTGGCACATGACAGAAGGAAAATCCCCATCTCAAATACAACTCCAGGACAAGTTGGAGACAGCTATAGATTCTGTAAAACATAATAAACCACTTTAGAAAATCCTGTGAAAGTCACTGGATGGATTGTGGTGCATGGAAAAAAAAAAGAAAAACAAGCAAATAAAAAAAATAGAGCACAGAGCAGAAAAGTCACTATTAGTCACTCAATTAAATACACTCAAGAGATAACTCCTCTTAGAAAATCATCTCGTATCCTATAATGAATAACAAAACAAAACTTGTCTCGGACTTTTTTTTTTTAAGAAAGGGGTGTTTAAAAAGATGGCTGTGGAGTGTGTACCACTTCTCCCAGATTTGCTGTGCAGAAGTGCATAAGTGTGAGTGATGTAGAGGTACTTGTTTATTATAGAGCACATTTCAATGCAGTAATCATAAATATTGCTAAGGTTGTGCTCTGTTGAAATATGACCTACATACTCTTGATTGTTTGTGTTACGTGATTTGTCTGACACCCATTACATTCTGGGTAATAGCGGCCATTTGTTGCTCTGCACAGCAGGCTCTTTTGACAAAAGAAAATAGGCAGCAATAAAAAAGCTATAGTCTGAATTACATTCTGCACAGTGCTGCACTGCTGAGAGTTTGTGCAAGTGTGTTAACAATGCTCTGAACTGCCTCTTGTCAGCCTTCAGCCTGTAATGGCCATCTGTCCTCACATAAATCTGTCAAAACCTGCTAAGTTCAAGAGAGAGCATGGAATATACCTTGTACTGTCAACACCCAAATGTACACATTCCCCAGAAAAATCAACACATAAGGAAGAATCTGGAGGTTATGGGAAGCATTAGCACTGTTGATTTAGGCTTGTGGGATGAAATTGAGAGTCTGGATATTAAGGAGAAGATGAGTAAAGGTGGCAGCATTAAGGAATTGAGGATTGAGTATGGTCCAGGTCTGATGGGGTGCTGTGGGCAGAATCGAGCGTGGACAGATGGGGTTAGGAAACTTGGTTAACTCAGGTACAGTCACAGGATTCCCTGCCCCGTCGGTTCCTCTTAAAAGTTTGACAAGATGTTAAAGCAATGCTCCTTACACTTTTATTTTACTTCATTATATCCTGTTCTCTTGTCCTGAGTATGAACCAACTCTATCAGAATAGAGAGTTTGAAGAGGATATGAAGTATTATATTCCTTAGAATGTATCAGTCTTATTCCAAGGTAGTCTCGGATTATAGGTGTTTCAGTGAAACAGTCCAAAAGTTGAGAGAGTTATTTTAATTCCTCTCCCCTACTCACTGACTCATTAATCCTCAAATATCTTCCATCCACTAAATAAGAATTGTTCATTGGGGTTCAACAGTAGTAAGAAATGTACAAGCTTGGTATACTCGGGGGGTTCTACAAATTGTAAGCACAGACACAATCAAACATGCTTACTTCTGATGGCAATGAATTTCAAGCTTATTTAAAAAAAGAATCACTGTATCCATGAGTCCCAAAATATCAGCATCTGCAAGGTGCTCGCTGAATGTCTGGTTCATTGCCACAGGCTGGCCAGTGTGTAGGGGAGGTTGAAAGACTGTTTTTAACTCAAAAGAAACTACTGTAAGGGTGTTGTCACTCCTGAGAGCAACTTGAGAATCAGTTATTTAAGGGATAATGAGCTTAGGTACTAGGACAAGGGTTTCAAATGTTCAAGACTAAAAAGAATTTCTATATTTAAAATCCCTAGATAGCTGGACTATTTTTAGAACCAGTCTCTCTTTAATAGTGGCCTAATTTGGTGTTTCTGAAGTTTAGGCTTTCCTTTTATAAGTCTAAAATGTCAGTCAAAATACATATACCTGAGGGCAAGACTGTGTGCCAAGGGGACACTGCAGGGTGGTGGCTGTCGCCATGTGGTCTGTGAACTATCTCATTAAAAATGTTTCACCAGCTGCCCAAGTGATTCTTGGCCCATCGAGATATGAGACCCAATATTAAAGGAGGTTCTGGAAAAACACAAATAAAAATGAGTCAAATGTTTTCCCAAAATATGCATCATCCTTCTAAAAGTTTAATACTCTGTTTGGAGAGAAAAGTTATAATTCACATTCAGGAAGAGATAAGAACACAAAGAAATAGTTGCTGAGAATCCAGTGGGTGTTTCTGGCAGAGAATTAGTGAGCAAAATTAAGATTTCCTTATTTTGGGGGAGGTCTCATTCAGAGTTAGATTTCAGAATATTGGGCGTTATTTTCCCCAACTCAAGAGTATTTCATTGTTTATTCACAGATGAAAAACTCATTGATCTTGATGTGCTTAAGTAACTTAGATTCCTGTGAGAAGAACCTGTCATTTCGTTGCTGGGACTTAGCATCTCTAAGTTAGTGGAAAAGGAAAGGAAGCTAGCACGTTTAAGAGAAGCCAGTGTGCAGGAATGGAGTTGTGTGAAAGGGCAAATGGTAAAAATTAAAATAAAAAGAAGAAAAGATTTAGCTGCTAGACATGTCTTCAATGGATCATAAGACAGATTTGACTATAAAAGGGGGGGGGGGAACGGATCCTTCAGTGACACAGCAGACTTAATCTGTAGTGGGTAATGTCCCTTCTTTCAAGACCAGTGGTACAGGAACTGAGTGGCCACCAATGAAGGGAGTTAATTCCCTGTGGCAGGACGTTGGTGTCTCTTCCTCTTAGTTTGCTCCCCCCTGTCTTTCTGCCCCCTTTTCTGGGTTGAACTTCCAAAGTTCAATCTCCATTTGGTTTGGGTTTCTTTACTACCTCCAATGAAGGGGAGTTATAAAATTGTCAAATATTTGCTGGAGTGCTTTGACTCTGAGGAAGTGTTCATTTCCTCCATCTCTTTACTGTAAGGCAGGGGAGAGAGGCAGAACCTTCCCGTTCATGCCCATATTGCAGGTGGTTTGTAACCTACTCAATTATTCGTATGTCCAGATTTTTCCAGCAAGGGCAGGTTTCTCTGCCCTTCCTTGAAACTGGCAGTTGCTTTAAAGCCAGAATTTGTTACCAGATGCATTTATGTTTTCCGAGTAGTGGGCCCCAGTCTTCCTAACTAGAGAGGAGACCGGAAACTAAAATGCTCCCTGTAAGCATCAAGTCATTTGAACTCCAGTCTACCCTTCTTCAAAGTTGCATAAGCTCTGGAACCACTGCATGGGTCTTCCGTGGCACAATGCGCTAAGTAGGACTCACTCAGGGGTGGAATTTAACGGATGCAGGGACGCTGCCGAGGCTCTTCAGTTTGGCTGCAGATGGGATTGTTCTGCGCTTCTCTAGAAAAGCCCCGAAGGCAACCACTGACAGCTTCTCCTTCTTCCTTTATTTTTTATTTACCTAATTAGTTGCTGAGGCTTTTATTCATTTCAGTCCCGCAGCCTCCTAACCCGCGCTGATGTGCTCTAAATAAAACGGTCCACCGCCACTGAGCTATTTAGTGTTACTGTTCACTTAGGTTTCTGTTGCAGAACCATATTTTAGACAGAATGTATTAGTTATGCTTACAAGAATGTATTATCCCTACATTAGCCATGGTTTACTAAGTTAATGAACTGTGGAGACAAAGAATCATTGCTCTCGAGTTGTAGAGTTGTCTAGTTCATGAAATCCTTTCTTAGGTTTTACTAAACTCACTGGGAAGTTGCCTCTGTTATTCTCCCACCCCCAAATGGGATGTTATCCCACCCATTTTTAATTTTAGTTGTCTAACTTTTTTCTTTGGCTCCACGGTACATTCTTTAATTCGACCAAAATCTCGAACCACTAGCATCCTCGAAGATTTTTGTTGCAGGCGAATGCTAGGAAAGTTTTTCTGTGATTCCCCTCGAGTCCCAGTGACTCCATTTGCCCTCAGACGAATGACACGCTATTTTCAACCAGGCTATGTTTGCTAATTCCCGGTGGGGGGAAGCCGAGGGAGGGGCTCTTTCTTTTTTCTGGGAAGCAGGAACTTTGCACGATTGTCTGAAAAACCCAAATCTATGGTTTCTTGCTCCTGCTTGTCACCATAGATCCAGCTTCTCTTGGTGCCCAGAGCTCAGAGGGAGAGACGCTTTTCCAGAGCTTGTCATGAATGTCCTTCTGCTTCATGCAATTTGAACAGTGGTCTGAAATCTTGGAAATGTTCAAAAACATATCCTGGTGTTTAAAAACAAAATCTCTTTTCTCCCCCTTTCTTTTCTTTCCTCTTCTTCTATTTTTTTTTTCCAATGTGTGTGCTGTTAGGCCTAACTCCACCCACCACTCCTCCACATAAAGCCAACCAAGATAACCCTTTCAGGGCTTCACCCAAGCTGAAGTCCTCTTGTAAGACTGTGGTACCTCCACCATCCAAGAAGCCCCGCTACAGTGAGTCTTCGGGTACCCAAGGCAATAACTCCACCAAAAAAGGGCCCCAACAGTCTGAGCTGTACGCACAGCTCAGCAAGACCTCAGTGCTCACCAGTGGACAAGAGGAGAGGAAGACCAAGCGGCCGAGTCTGCGGCTGTTCGGTGACCATGATTATTGTCAGTCAATTAATTCCAAAACGGAAGTACTCATTAATATTTCACAGGAGCTCCAAGACTCCGGACAACTAAACTATAAAGATGCCTCCTCCAATGGTCAGGGGCAGATTTGTTCTTCCACAGATTCAGACCCGTGCTACCTGAGAGAGACTGTGGTGGCCGGCAAGCACACCTCTCCTTGCAGCGCCCGGAAACAGCTCCAAGACCAGGAAATCCGAGCCGAGCTGAACAAGCACTTCGGTCATCCCAGTCAAGCTGTTTTTGACGACGAAGCAGACAAGACCAGTGAACTGAGGGACAGTGATTTCAGTAATGAACAATTCTCCAAACTACCTATGTTTATAAATTCAGGACTAGCCATGGATGGCCTGTTTGATGACAGCGAAGATGAAAGTGATAAACTGAGCTACCCTTGGGATGGCACGCAGTCCTATTCATTGTTTGATGTGTCACCTTCTTGCTCTTCTTTTAACTCTCCGTGTAGAGACTCTGTGTCACCACCCAAATCCTTATTTTCTCAAAGACCCCAAAGGATGCGCTCTCGTTCAAGGTCCTTTTCTCGACACAGGTCGTGTTCCCGATCACCATATTCCAGGTCAAGATCACGGTCCCCAGGAAGTAGATCATCTTCAAGGTAATCCTGGCCCAAACCTGCCCACAGCCCCAGCCCTCCCCAGAGGTACATCAATGCATTCAGCATCCCCCCTCTCCGGGCTGCCTCCCATTCCTCATGGACCTAACCAGGCGGTTGTTACCTTGAAGTCCCTCTGCCCCATATTCTTGTCCATGCAGTGTGAGTGTTGGGCATTGAGACTGTGAGAGCAAAAGAGTAATTTTGTAGCTTGCTTATGGCACTTTTTTGGTGACCTGGATAGCTGCCCCATACGGGAGAGTGCAGCATCCTACTGGATAAAACTGACAGTGTAGCTCAACTGGTACTTAGTGCTAACCTCTGTCAGAGACGCTGGGAGAGCACTTCCAGGCCTCTGAGCTCACACTCCATGATCACAGACTGTCACTGAGAAATCCCACTCAGGACTAGGAAGGAAAAGCCGCTTTCTGTAATTGGCTCTTCCAGAGGCCATTCTATCTTGCCCGCGAGCTGGACTTAAGTGGCAGTTGCAAATGTCCCCTTTGTTTTTTTTCCCTTCCCCTCAGATCTTGCTACTACTATGAGTCCAGTCACTGCAGACACCGTGCACACCGAAATTCTCCTCTGTGCGCAAGATCACGGTCGAGATCCCCCTACAGCCGTAGGCCCAGGTAATGATGCGCGTCATCTGCCTGCTGCTTCCCTGGCCCCTGCTTGTGATGACTAGATGTTATCCAAGAGCTGTCCTTCCCCCTGCTCTCTGTTGGTGGATGCGGATTGCCGTGGTTGGCTTAATGATGAAGGTCTGTCTCTTAGGTATGACAGCTATGAGGAATATCAGCACGAGAGGCTGAAGAGGGAAGAATACCGCAAGGAGTATGAGAAGCGGGAGTCCGAGCGGGCCAAGCAAAGAGAGAGGCAGAGACAGAAGGCAATTGTAAGCAAAGAGCAGCGCTCTCTGCACTCCCTTCCTCTGATGTTTCTCTCCACCTTGCCTGTGCTCTGCTCTCTTCTCTTCCTCTGCCCTGCTCTTTCTCCCTTCTCCTCCCCTCCCTTCCCCTTAGCTCTCCTCCCCTCCCCCCTTTCCCTCCTCTCCCCTTGCCTCCCTTACCCTCCCTTTCCCACCCTTCCTTTCCTCCCTTCTCTATCCCCCCATATATACAAAACATTAAGACTGTTTAAATGTATCGTATTCCGCCTATTCCGCTTTTGAACTTTAAACATCATTGACTCCTCAATCCTTCCCAACACAAAGTACTGCAAAACAAACTATGAAGTCAATCTCTCTCTCTCTTTCTCTCTCTCTCTCCCGCCCCTCCATCTCTCTGTCTCTCTGTCTCTCTCTCTCTCTCTCTCTCTCTCTCTCTCTCTTTCATTTTCAAGTTCATCTTGTTTGCCAGTATAGAGGGAGTACTGATAATTCAGATGGATACTGGCTCCATTTGATCAGTGGATGAGTGTCTTTACTGCTCTCTTTGTTATCCTGTGAGTGAAAAATAAGGAGTTGTACATTATAGCTTTTTTCTTATTGGCAGATGTAAGGATTGGATTGTTAATATTAGTTACATTAATAGAAAAGCAGTATTTGCTAAGAAAACGCTTATTTATACCTGTGCTAAGTCAACACCCGACTGGGAAGTTAGCAAAACCACACAAGTAGAAGCTACTTTTCCAGTAGACTCTTATCCATGTGGCTATCACTTACTTCAGGAATTTTCCATTCCCTCGAGGTACATACGTTGTTCATCCTTCTGCCTGAAGGTTATGTTAAAGCATCTTTATTCTCTGCAAGTTACTACCTTTTAAGTACCGTTCTCTCCAGTTGCTTATCAACCTAGACCTGGAATAGAAAAAAATGGGGCACTGTGATTTTCATGATCTGCTCTGTGTCCACAGCAAATATTTCTAATTAATTAGGGGACTCTTGACTACCAAGTGGCCCCAAGGCCTTAGGTCCTTTCCCAGCACAGGACTCCAAGGAGCCATGGCTAATCCATCCGCAATGGCACTGTCTTGCATTACAGCAGCTGCTGCCTTTCTGTGCTTGGTACTCAGAGGCATTTCAATGAAGATTTGACATATCTTGTGGACCGAGGCTCAGAGAAATTATTTTTAACTGTAAAGGTTAGGTTTATATGGCATCTTGCATTAAACCCCTACCATCCACAAAATATTGGAAAAACCTACATAAAAGTGCTGACGAATAGAGTCAAAATTGAGCATTGAATAGTTATCAGCTAGAGGGATTGAACTGGGAGATCTATTCACCACAGGCCTTGAGGAAAAGGAAGTGAGAAATAATTGAATGCCAAGGCTAAAGGTCTATGGTATTTACTTCCATTTAACTTTGACTATACCTAAAACTGAATCAAAATACTTTTGCAAATTATACTTACTTCATTTGTTCACAACTTTCAAATGAGCTGTGATATTAAGATCTGCTAGAGAATCATTAGTTAATACTTCAGAAAACAAAACTTAAAATTATTTTTTCTAATTTTGATGCATTAATTGCTTATTCAGTAATTTTTACTCACTTTTATATTGTGCCATATAGTTTATGCAGTAAGTTAAGAGTACATTTAACTTTTCCAGAACAGAATTATGTTGAGCCAACATGTTGAAAAATAGTTATTTCACAGTTTGTAAATTCATATTTTAATGAAATATTTCACACACCTAAAATATGACATTAAAGAGAGAGATGAATTTCATCATACATTAGCTTTTTTGGACAATATACAACACAACTCTAAAATCATGTAGATAAGTGCAGATTAATTATATCAACTTAACTTTATTTTTCTGAGATTAATTTAACAAAAATATTTATATTAAATAAAAGAAGGTAACTTTGTATTAGTTTTGGATATTTCCATATGCTCAAAGACAATGATCATTCTATAACTTATAGAAATCGCTACCCTCAATTTAGAAGTAGAGAAAATTTTGCCTGACTCAGTCAGCACTTGTAAGGACGTAAGTGCTGTCTGAGTCCTTTGTTAACCCTTTAAGGTAAAGGCCCTCCCGTTGATCGTCGATTTGCTCGAGCGGGCCCAGTAACGTCTCCATTGGAGACTTTGTTGTTACTGTGTCTGGCATATCGAATACTCTCAGTAGCTTGCCGGGCTCTCCGAGAGGGGCGGAGGAATCGAACTCGGGTCGGCCATGTTGGCCGCTTGTAAGGCGAACACCCTACCGCTGTGCTATCGCTCCAGCCCTTTAACTAATTCATTTTTTCTTCCAGTTCTCTTTGAACGTTGGCTTGTAGAGTACAAATACTAACTTGACATGTTAAATCACTGAAAGTAATGTAGAACATTTGGGAAATTTGGTCTCTGGGGTTTTTTTTTATTTTATAAATAAATTAAAAAAAATTCACAGCCATACAGTTTGCTTTACTGGCATAGTAAAACTTAACATAGAGATTGGTACTTAGTGCTAGACCAATTCTAATTTGGACCATTATGTGCTCTTTTTGCTTGGAATGAGTAAAGATTCATCATTCTATGTGATGAAGATTTGTTAGGTTCATAGGTTACAAAACAAAGTAAGACCAGATCTAAATACACACTCAGGAAAACAATGTGGTAAATACACTTGCCATGGGTGCATCTGTAATATGGTATTGTCATGCATATTGAATCCCATACATAGGAAAGAAAACATCCACAGAGGGCAAGATTGATCTACAGCCTAGAATGAGGGACACCAAATAGTTCTCCACACCTGTGCTGTCCTATATGGTAGCTATGAATCATAGGACCAATTCATTCAGTCTAAAGATAATATACACTATTAGTGTGAATCAATTTTGAAGGAAGTACAAAACAGTACAAAATACCATATTAATATTTTGTATCAGTAATAAGTTAAAATAAAAATATTTTTAATGTATTGACATCAACAAAATAAAAAGTCTAAGTTTTCACTAAAATACATAACCCCTAGACATCTAAAGTCACAAGTGATGCATTATAATTTACTAGGTATTTCTAATTTAGACAGAATTTAGTTCATATTAAATGTTTGGAAAAAGAAAAAGGCATTCTGGGAAACTTCTGGTTATTGAAGTCAGGGCATAGAAGGGCAAGGCCCTGCAGACTCAGTGAAACCAGAACCTTTAAAGGCCCTGTAAATCCTGATAAAAATTTTGAAGTCTATGTTGAAGGCATGGGGGATCTATTTAATGGGTTTACCCACAGGAAGATTTTTCTGATTGATTCCCTTCCTTCAAATGATCTGCTTTCTTGTGCCATAATGCATTTGCAAAGTATATTTTTATGGACTTGGGCACTGAGATACAGGCAATGATTTTTGGCTCATTTGCCTGGATTAACTTGAAAAGTCATTTCCAAAACAACTAAGAAAACTAGGGCAGTCTTAAACTGGGCTGGTTCTTTCCCTCCATGTTTTCAACATACACTTAAAGTAACAAATAAGCAGCATATGGTACTTGGAATAACTTGAATGATGTGGTGGATTATCTATTAATTAAGATCAATCATATCATTAGAGACTCAACAAAACTGAGATAACAAAGGAAATAAAATATTTTAAAGTGATGCAATAGTTGACATCTTTAAAAATTTATATAGTCTACGTTTGTCTTGTGATCTGTTTTGATTGTGTTTTGTTTTTGTTTTTGGTGCTCAGCAATCACTCTTGGTGGGCTTGGGAAACATATGGGGCACCAGGGATCAAACTCATTCTGGCTGCATGCAAGGCAAAGCCTTACCTGCTTTCCTATCACTTTGGTCCCTATTCTGATTATATTTTTAATTCCATAAGAAAATGATGTAGAAGGTCAATAAACTTTTCATTGTTATGGATCTGAAAATATTTAGATATACCAACTATAGTGCATCAAACCAGAATCAAAAGAAGTCTAATACTTAGTAATTACTATTAAAGCATCATATATTATACTTGAATATTGCCATCATTCAGTTGCTGCTTGTCTCCAATTACCATGTACACTTTTTTTTCCCTGAAACCAATTCACCCTCTATCTTTCTCAGTTTTGTAGACTAAAGAAATAATTCAGGTTATATTGGAACTCTGCACAGTAGAGTTTAGTACTTAATGTCTAAACTGTCACTGCTCTAATTTCTTGTGGAGTTCTAGGTCCAACTCCATTAGCAATCTGTATAGTTTCCTGCCAGCAAACATGATAATGGCATGTTAATTTAAAGGGCAAATCTAGGCCTTCTGATGTGACTCGGCACTTAAAACCAAAACCAAATGTGTTAGGGCAATGGTTGTGTCATTTCATTTTTCTTTTTCATTGTTCAGTGTGCAGCCCAGAAGCTAGAAACAATGAATCACCATGGATAATTATCAGCTTCTTCCAAAGGGGAAAAAAGTGCAATTTTTATCAATTTCTCATAGTTATTCTTTTTGGAGAAAATCAACTGGTTTTATATTCAAACCTTTTTTTCCTTTCTTTTTTTAAAATTTATTTATTTTGGCTATACCCTATGGTGTTCAGGATCTACCCCTGGCTCTGTGCTCAAAAAAAATCACTCATGGCAGGACTCAGGGGATCATTTGAGGTGCCAAGAGATTTTTTTTTTTTTGCTACAACACTTTCATATAGGTAGTTATCTAACATAAAATAGGATTCTAAACTTGATATTGAGAAATGATCAATTTTATCAAGTGAGTCTGCACTGTTGCTTTTATGTTTTGTTACGAGAACTTGTCTATTTGCATCTTAACACTGTATGAGCTCTTAAGAATTTTAACTTGGATTTATTCACATTAATTAAAATTTAGCCATTTAGGGAGACATATTCCTGGGAAGTACTGAAAAAGTGAACAGTTTTGGAAAATCAAATTTGTAGTTTTGTTTCTTCCTAATAGTGACCTTAAGTTGTAGGCATTTGAGTGCCTACTGATTTAGAGTTAGTCAATATGAATGCCAAGAAGGAAAAA